CAAAGCTGGCAGCCGAAACGCCTGGGTTTAGGGTTTAGGGTTTAGGGTTCAGGGTTTAGGGTTTAGGGTTTAGGGTTTAGGGTTTAGGGTTTAGGGTTCCTTTTCGCAGCAGCTTGGGTTTAGGGTTTAGGGCTTGGGGCTTAGGGCCAGTTTAGGGTTTTGGGGATTGAGGGTTTGGGGTTTGGGGTTTAGGGTTTAGGGTTTAGAGCTAGTTTCGGATTTGGGGTTTAAGGTTGAGGGTTTGAAGTTTAGAGTTTGGGGTTTAGGGTTAAGGGTCTAGGGTGTGGTGTGTAGGGCATGCTGGTAGAAGCAGTAGACATCAGAGTAGTAAGAATGACATGCAACAGAAAAGGACAGTCGAGGATGATAGGGACAAGATGAGTAATGAAGGATGCGAGTGGTGCTAAAACACAACGAGCAATGATAAGACAAGCAATAACGGCAGCAACAGCAAGGGTATAGTAACCGCATTACTGCTATAAACGGTAGCAACAACGAGAAGAAGAACAAGAAGAACTCCTCCCCAAAACCCTAAACCCCTAAATCCCTTAGCAAGCTTGGGATTTCTGCCTCTCGGGGGTAGGGGTTTTCTAAGCTTGAGACTCGGAAGGATGTGGAGCTCCAAGGCTTCGTTGATGCCTAAGGGGTTTAGGTCTTTAAGGGTCAAGGGTTGAGGTTTTAGGGCTTAGGGCTTAGGGCCTTAAGGGTTTAGGGTTAAAAAACGAACCGGAAAATACAACCCAAGAAGAGCGCCCCCCAAAGTAACATGCGTATGGCTCTCCTGGAGGCAGAGGACGGCCTTGGGATGGCTTGGGTGGTGGAGGATTCTGAGGATCACGGACACGAGCTCTTCGGCCCGTTGCTCCGCAGGGCTTTGCTGCATCTTGGAGCCTTTCAGGCCCTGCCAGTCCTTGTCGATGAACTTCATATAGTGCATATTTAGAACATTGAAGGAGGCCAGATTCAGAGCTCCGAAGTCGCCGCCTTTCAGCACGATTCTCGCTCCGACGGGCGGGTGGTCCGAGGCGAAATCCCAGAGCTCGTGGAGGGGCTCGGAAAGCGAGGACTCGAAGTGCTCGAAGCTGCCCATCCGGTTCACCAGCATCAGGGAAGCGGAGCCCTCCAAGAGCTCCTTCGCCGCCACCAGCATCTCCAAAGCTTCGTCCTCGGAGATCGCTTCCAGACGGCTCCGGAGGTCCTCCAGGCAACGGCGCGCCGCCGCCGCCTCCGCCTCCGCGGCCTCCGCGGAGACCTGCACCTCGGATCCGAGAGCGCCCAGCTTGGCTTGGAGACTCCGCAGATGCTCACCTCGATTCAAGAGCTCGAGTTTCAAGGAATTTGCACACAGAACGCTCGTTGAAGTGCACCTTGCAACCCTGGACTTGTCTTCTCTGAGGCTTCCGCTCAGCTGCGACAGGCCCTCTCGGGCGCTCTTCTGCGACGGCGGCCTTTGAAAGGTCGCGAATGCTAGTGAGCTGCGAGTGAGGAGGCTCTCTGCGCTTACAGCTGAATTTCCTCATGGGGAGCTCCATGGATGGGCTTGGAGATGGGATGAACTAATCCAGCCCCCTGAAGCTGCAAACTGCATAAATTGCCGCTGCCTGGTCTCGACGAGCGCCGCAGTCTCGGCGAGATGGGCCGGCAAGCCCTGCAAGAAGGGCCGCAGGGCCCGGACCAGGGCTGCATCGACTCTTGCGTTCGATCCGAGGCCCAGCAGCTGCTTCACCTCAGCTGTTGCCGTATGACGGGTTTAGGGTTTATAGGGGTTGAAGGGATTAGGCGTTTAGGTTTAGGGTTCAGGGTTTAGGGTTTAGGGGTTTAGGTCTTGGGTTTAGGGGGGATCCAAAAAAAACGTGAGCTCTGGATCCACATGAAATGGAAAGTCGCGAGCTTCTCTGCCAAGAACTCTCCGTCATAAGCCGCCCCATGCTGCATGGGAGCCGCCTTCCAACGGACTAGAACGGCAGAGTCATCGAAACTAAGACTGAGACTTGCAGCGGATGTGTGCCACGCGAGAGTAAGATTCGCCGAATATGAACATCCTAGGCTTGATATGGCTTGAACACACAGCCCTCCATCTCAGCCCCCCCTGACGTTGCAGCATGTAGACAGTCAAGCCATCTCATTAACATCAACCGCATGCAAGGGCTGCCTTAAGCAGCCAGCATTTCAGCCGTCATGGCCGCAGGGTTGTCCAAGACAGGCATGCAAGCAGCACATGCGTTTACACGTTGGCCCCCGTTGCAGAGAAAACTGTCGCTGTTCATGCAGCACCAGTGGCTCTTGAGCACATTCGTTGCCACACATGTCTGGACTGGCGCTTCTCACTTGTGTTCTCAGCCAATGCTGCGAAAGCTACAAAACGTGAGCTGGAATCTCGTCGCACCTGGACGCATACGATGCAAGCCCTACACAGCGAGAATCGTGGACAATCTACTCGGAAGGCCAACCGACAAGGTCAACACAACGCAATGCTTGAAACGGTATGAAATGACATCTTCGACGGGAGGCATACAACACAACTGTTACAGGGCTTTGTATGAACCCTTTTTGCTCAGATCAGGCTCAGCGTACAGGGCCCCCTCACTTCCTGGCCGGGGAGCAGTCGTGATCAGTATCTGTAGTTTTCCCAGTCTTGTCGTCTACATTTCGATGTTTGTGCTGTGTGCATGCGTGTTGTTGCCACATCGCAAGACTCTCCTGCAGGACATCCTAGTCTAACCTCCCATGGTCTTTCGGTTCGAGGTTGAACCTCAAACCCGAAACCTTAAACCCTAAACCCTGAACCCTAAACCCCAGACCCCAGACCCTAAACCCAAACCCAAAAAACCTTGAAGCTTCAGGCTGCAGGCTCATGGACCCGAGTTTGGGCTTTGGGATGGGCTCACAAGGCCCCCTTCGCATAGATCATAGTGGAGGTACGCGGCAAATGAAGGCTCCGGCGAAAATCCCAACAGCCACAACCTTTCTGCAGAACCACGACAAGTGCGAACCCTGCACCTAATCCTTGGAGCTCACACAACTCAGATGCAGAAAGCTCTACAACACCACAGCACCGCAGGTGACCCTCAACTCGAACACCCAGGATGCCTAAAACCTTGAAACTCTTCATGCGCCACCCAGATGGCATCATCCCTAAACCTTAAACCCTAAACCCGAAACTCTGAACCTCTTATTCATCAAAGGAACCGCTTGCACATGGAATGTCCGATCATTGCGAAAATGTCCAGAGAGCTGCTTCGGATTAGGAACATTCAAGAGAAAATCTTTCCGAACAAGGGTGAGCAGAGAGGGAAAAACAATTTCTCTAGCCAATCACCTCAACGAGGGAAAAAGGCTGCAGCGGCAGAGAAATTGAATCACCACAACACCACAACGATGGACAAGCAAGCTAAATTTTCTCGACGAAAATTTTTCCT